TGACTTCTTGTATTATAGACTTCATCTCTAGCAGTTCCGTTTGAGTCTTTTGTAAAGTGTGTAATTCCTCTTTTATATCTTGCAAGAATTTCCTCATCTCCTGGAAGTCGTCAACTTCTTTCTCCTTTCTCTTTAGCAGTTCATTATCTCTCTTCTCTCCCATCTCTGTTAGCTTTGACATTATGAATGCTCTAAATTCCTTATCAGACATTGCCATGATTTTCACCGAACTGCTTGTGGATAAGAAGAATTACTCTTTTCCCTTTGAGGGAGAGGTATTTTCTCGTTTTCCCATATTTCTCGTGATCCGACAGTAATTTCTTGTCATCTGATGGATGGTGTGTTTGTTTCAAATTCTTGAAGTTCAGTCTGAATGTTCAGGAGCAAGCAGAAAGAGGTGATCTGGAATCTCTTTGTTCATTCCCTGAAAAATCTAGTTCGCTGGAGCCATGTGGAACCTTCTGCTGAAGGCCCGGCTTCTTCTCGGTAGTTATTTTCTAAGTATATTAAAATACTCTGTTTTGTGCTGCCTTCTGTTATTGCTGCTTGGGAGTTAGCTATAAGTCTTTTTTGTTATTGGTTTTTGTTTTTTTATTTCTGTATTTCTTCATTTCTATAAATTAGTTTTAGTTCTCTTCCAAGCATACTTAACATTTTTTAGAGTTGTCTTTTTACTCATGTTTTCAGTTTTTTTAAAATTATTTTACTTAACTTTATTTATGTATATATATATGTATATATTTATTTTAATTTGACCAGAGAGAGAGAAAGGGTGAGAAAGCAAGCCACCAGGTCCAGGACTCAAACCACCGTCGTCCATATCGGAGTCCAGCACCTTAACTACCATACCACCTGTTGGCCCCAAGAGTATTATATTTCTGTGTCTTATAATTCCTACATGTATTGTATTTTGGGATCAGGTTTTTTTTTTTTTTTTCCTTCTGTCCTTTGAAGTACCTTACTTCCTTTTATGTTTTTTGCTTTGTTCATTCATATCTCTTTGCTAAAGGGTGCATGTGCTTGCCAGAGAAAGGGAGAGGGAGAAAGCATTTCAGTGGGGTAGTCATGCCACAACACTTTCTCCATTCTGTTGGGGCTTGGGGCACACATACACATATGCTCAGCATGTTTTTTTGTTGTTTGTTTTTTATTTTTTTGGAGAGATTTTTGCTATAGGGTTCGTGCACTAACCAGAAAGACAGTCTGAAAGCAACAATTCATTCCCCAGGGAGATGGCCACACCACATTCTCCTCTCCTCCATTCTCCTCTTGGGATTTGGGGCATGCACGTGCATGCATGCACATGCACCTGGTGTTCAGTTTAAGCCACTGGGTCTGGGACTCGAATCACAGTTTGCCATGTGGGAGTCCAGCAACATAACCATTACGCCATCTGCTAGTCCCAGCTCACCTTGTTTTGTAAGCCAGGATTTTAGCTGTGTGGGATTCAGCTTCCTTAACCACTAGGCCACAGGGTTGCCCTATCTTTTTTGTTTCTTATGAGAGAGAGAGAAAGAGACAGTACTGTTGGCAGATTCTCAATCTCTCTGCCATACCCACTCAATTACCTGGGCTAATAGGCACATCTGGCATGTTCAGGTTGGCCCAGTAGAGTAGAGTTCTTTAGCTCTGTGTATATAGTACTTTCCTTCAGAAATTTGATCCCTCCCCCTTTCAAGTATCTGACAACAATACTAGCGTGAGATCACATTAAACTGAATTCTTAGTATGATGTTTCTCTGAGCATGTAAGAAATATGAATTTAGGCAACAAATCTATAAGAGTCAACTTATACTTACAAATTCTTAGAAGAGATTTTTTTTCTACCTACAACTTCTGTGAATACAATTTTTCTTGCAGTTCTCTAATTGAGGATGGTTTTGGGGGAAATGACTTGCTTCAAGTATATCCATCTACTATGTCCACCAGCCCATCAACACCCCATTAGATAATAGGTTAAAAGCCCTTAGAATTATAAGTACATAAGAAAAAAGTTGAATTTTTAAAAGACTATCGAACAGTGTTTGGATATTGAAATATAATCTACACATATGAATGCCAAATCACTAATTGACAGTGTCTTTAAATAATCTTATTTAATGAACCAGGACTGCTAGTTCAGATAATTTTGTTATGTCTGCAGCAGTATGGTAGTTATAGTCTGAACTCTCAGCCAAAAAATATAAAAGTAGGCTTGTTCTATAAAAGCAGAAAGACCTGATATTTGCTTAAGTACTGTTGTTGTTATGTATTTGTCTTGACATTACAGTATGGTGGTACAGAAAAATAACTAATATCAGACATTGATTTGTTTCTACTATTTGGCTATTATGAATAATACTGCTATGAACATTCATGTACATGTTTTTGTATGGAAAAATGTTGTCATTTCTCTTGACTATATACCTAGGAGTAGAATTGATGGGTCATGTGGTAGGGACCTATGTATAACCTTATGAGGAACTGCCATACTGTTTTCCAAAACAGCTGTGCCATTTATGGTTTATGAGGTTTTCAGTTTCTCTGCTTTTTCACCAGTATTTTTTTTTTTAAATGTCAGAGGGCATGTGTATGTGTCAGAGAGAAGGGACAAGGGTGGAGAGAAAGAAAACACCCCTCAGCCCCCATGGAGTTGGTCATGCCGCAATCCTTTTTCCTCCAGTTCTTCATCTTCTCAGAATCCTGGGCATGTATGCACGTTCTGCTATGTTGCCACTGGGGCCAGGATTTAAACTGCAGTCTGATTTGAACTGGTATTTAGCCTCCTGTACACAGCTACTCTGTGGGGCTGACTGTGCAACCCTTGTTACTATCTAACTTTTTTTAGAGTAGCCATCTTAGTGAATGTGAAATGGTATCTCTGTGGCTTAGATTTGCATTTCTCTAATGAATAATGATGTTGAACATCTTTTTAGGTATTTGTTGTTCAGTTGTATGTCTTAGAAGGAATGTCTATTTAGTTTCTTTGCCCGTTAATAATTGGATTGTCTTTTTATTATCAAATTGTGAGTATTCTTTTTGTATTTTGCATACAGGTTCCTTATTTGATAGGTGATTTGTAAAAACTTTACTCCATTCTGTGGTTTGTCTCTTTACTTTCTTGATATCTTTTAAAATCACAAAATTTTTCTAGTTTTGAGATGTACAGTTTATCTAGATTTTCATTCATTGTTTTTGCTTGTATGTCACATCCAAGAAACCATTGTGAAATCCAAGATTTATGCCTATTTTTTCATCTAATTTAATTTTTTAATTAAGGTTTTATATCAGTGTCAGTAAAAATGCTTCTAAGGGGAATAACACTCATAATCCTATTAAAAGAGTTATATTTATTTTTCCCATACTATTGTATCCTTGTTCAATGTATGCATATTTTCATTGCTATTTGTTAAAAGAGTTTTATCTTTAGGACAATGATATCACTGATAATCTTACTTCAGTAAAACTCAGGGTAAAATGATGTCTATTTTCTCATCAAAAAAAGAGATACTTTTTATTGGGCACTTCTTGTACTGAGATTGAAAACTACAACAGTAAGTTGCCTTGTTGAATGAAGATAAATATACTTAAAATTTAATGCTTCATTGTACTCTCTAAGTTAGAGTGTAATTTGTTACATTTTCTTTAGGATTCGGGAGCAAGAAAGAAAAGAAGCAGAAGAAGCTAGTCAAAAAGAAATAGAAGAATGGGAAAGAAAACTGCTAGCTCAAGCAGCTCCAACTTGTATGGAGACCATGTGGGAAATTCCAGCTATCGGGCATTTTCTTTGTTTAGCCCAGCAAATTCTAAATTTGCCAGAAATAGTCTTTTATGAATTAGAGCGTTGTCTTCTGATGCCTCAGTGTAATGCTTTTCTATCTAAAATAATGACTTCACTATTAAGTCCTCCACATCGCAGACCTACCTTACATCGAAGACCTACTTTGCCTTATAGGACCTGGGAAGCAGCACTGAGACAGAAAGTGCAGCAGTGGTACACTGCTGTAGGGCAAACTGAAAATCCTGGTAACTGTGCTGAAAAACTTGGATTGTGTCCTCAGTTTTTTAAAGTTCTTGGAGAAGTTAATCCATTGGAAGAAAAACCTTTTCATGAACTACCTTTCTACCAAAAAGTGTGGTTACTTAAGGGGCTTTGTGATTTTGTGTATGAAACACAAAAAGAAGTTCAAGATGCTGTACTTGGACAGCCTATCCATGAATGCAGGGAAGTTATCCTTGGTTATGATTATTTAGAGAATGCTTATGTACATTTTCCACAGTTCTGTGGTGCAGATGTACGGATTTATAAACAGAGACCCTTTCAGGCCCCAGAATTTCCAATTCCACCCATTAAAATACAAAGAGTACCTCGGATTAAACTGGAGAAATTGAAGTGTGAGTATCTTAGTACAAGTAATGGAGAACATAGATGTAGTAGAGAAGGCCTGTCCTCTGCCTTCAAGAAAGAACAGGAATTTAATTTGGATCCGGCTTGCTGTCCTGATAAAATGAATTTGGATAATCATGAGACCTCTATTGAAATGGAATTAAAATCCAGCTGTGAAATAAGAACTCGCAGGCCCTGTGAAATTAAAAAAACTGATTGTTATAAAGAAAATTTAGAAAAACCAGAGAGTCCAGGTGAAGTTAATGACTTTGGGGAGCCTCTCAGTCCAGGTGAAATAAGGTTTATAGAGAATCAGGAAAAATATGGTGAAGCATCCAGAAAAAAAACTGAACCCAGTCCATTAAAAGAAAATGCTCTAAAATCTTGCCAAATACATGTTAATGGAAGTCACGGTGATCATCTCGAAATTAACTGCCACAAAGTTGTAAGGGATATTCTATTAGAGCAGTCACTGCAGAGCCACAAGAAACTTAAACTAACTAAAATGAGGGCAAAAAAGAAGAAAAAGAAAAAAAAGAAATTGAAAGATGTTTTAAATGAAAATTTACAGAGAAAGTGTGAAGGTCTTCATTCTCTTGCATTCAAGTCTTACAAACCTGAGATCCAGAATAAGTTAATGATTATAAAAAAGAAAGCAAAGCACAAGAAGCACAAATCTGGTAAGCTAACACAAATAGGTGAAAATTACATTTAAGAATAATTCAAATTATTTTAATTATGAATCATGGAAACTCTGATTGACAGAATGAAATACACACATATGAATATATGTGTATTTAAGGGCCAAGGTGTATTTCTCATGATTAAAAACCAAAGCAGAAAAGATTGTATATACTAACAAAAAATTGGTACAGTATATTTTAATTTAATTCTCAGGTGAATGAAGATGTTTGAATGTTTTTAGATTTCTGTGGACCAATTTTCCACTCACTTATAGAAAGCGGGGTTTTTAAATGTTTTTGTTTGTTTTTCTCCAGGCTAAGAGCAGTAAAGTATATATTGGAAAAAGTACTATTATCAGGAGATACCATTCCCAAGACTAAAGTTTATAGCAACTAGCTTCTTAAGCCAAGGCTATCTTTGTGGGTCTTGTTCTTTTTTCGGCACTCTGCTTCCAGTATATATTTTTATATTTAGAAAAAGTGTGAAATATGTATTAGAAGAACTGAATCATATTTTTTAAAGAGGTTTTTGTCTTATGGTGCGTGTGCTTGCTGGAGGGGTGGGGGAGTGAGAAATCACCCCCTGGAGGGATGGCCATGCTGCAGTCCTTTCTCCATCCTCCTCCTGGGATCTTGGACATGCATGCACTTGCATCCAGCATGAATCTGGGTACAAACTCAGTTTGGGACTTGAGTTGCAGTTGGCCTTGTGAGAGTCCAGCAACATAACCACTAATCATCTCCTGAGCCATCATGAGTCTATATTTCTGTGAAGGGATTTATAACTTTATCTTGCCCCAAATTGAAATTTTCTCTCTCTCTCTCTCTCTCTAAGAGGTTTTTGCTATAGGGCGCATGTGCTCACCAGAAAGACAGAGAGAGACAGAGAGCGAGAAATCACTCCCCCGGGAGGATGGCCACGCCACAGTCCCTTCTCCTCCATTCTCCTCTTGGGATCTTGGGCATGCACGCACACACACCTGGTGTGAATTTTAAGTCACCGGGTCCGGGACTCAAACTGCAGCCGACTACATGGGAGTCCAGCGACATCACCATTATACCAACTGCTGGTCCCCCAAATTGAAATATTCTATACAGTGATCACCAATCTAATAAAACAACAACAAATTCTGTTAAGTCTTCAGTGGTTGCTTGCCCTGTTTTTTTAATTACTCAGGTACTTTATCTTTTCCTGTTATGTCTTTTAATCTGTTAATGTCTCATTTATCAAGAGGGTTGGAGAGACAAAAGCAGGTGATCAACTTTATTTATTAACCCTAATGAAAAGTTACTTGATTAGGAAAAAAATTAGAATTGTTTACTAAGTGAGTTATGGTCCATCATCATTTATGGCTTTTGGTTTTGTACTCCTCCCTACAGTAGTAAAAATAATAAAGATTCAGCCAAAAAATGATAATGACGGGCCAGCAGGTGGTTTGGTGGTTAAGGTTGATGAACTCCCACATGACCAACTGCAATTTGAGTCCTGGACCTAGTGGTTTGCTGTCTCGCTTTCTCTCTCTCTCTCTCTCTCTGTGTGT